ACACACACACACACACACACACACACACACATATATATATATATATATATATATATATATATATATATATATATATTGTATAGGCTAATGATGACAAAGCATCAAGTGCACATCATTTGCAAACTGACCCTCAGGCCAATTTCCTGGTTGATTCAGTAAAGTGGGGGTAATATGGCACTGAATCATTAAAAAGGCATTTCCGTCTGTTGAGGGGAGATTGTGCCCATGTCAATATCCTTATCAAGTGCTGGTTCTGTACGACTAGAGGGCTAATTAGACCAATGAAAAAACACTCGTGTGATCCCAAACTAAATGTTCATATTAAAAAATGGGTAAACAGATATAGTATTTACTCTTTACTAAGTTACGCACAGTTACTAAGTTTGAATGTGTAACTTGTTAGGTTATTAACTATAACGTGTCTAGTCACTTGAGGCTAACGGAACACCACACGCCTGCATTTCAATTGACTTTTCCACTGCCAATGACATTATTTGGAGGCTACCAATTTGACCATTGTTATAATCAATAACAGAATAGTTCAAGGTGTTCTACACAAAATACTTGTTTATGTAGCCAGCTGGTCAGCTAGCTAATGTTAGCTATAATTAAGCAACAGTATTAAAAACTAGCCAGCTAGCCAAGGCCGGCTAATCTGTCAACTACCAGCTGGCCTAGACTGTTAGCCCACTACTAAATCAAAGCTGGCTTAGACTTTATGCTGACGCAAACCGTTCATAATTAATAGCTTCATGGTCACATATGAAAGGCTACTTATCAATGAATTGCATGATAATAGTGCAGTTAGTATAGCGCGAAGGGTTTGTTTGCTGGCGACATTTCCCCCTGTGTGAGTGGCTTTGTTGAATGACAGCTCGCTAGCCGTGACAGGGCAACTGAATAAAGTGACATTTAAACACCAACAGCCACTGGACGTTGCCCATTGAAATGTTTCATTGAATGCTGATGCCGACTATCCATGAGCTGGAGACTCGAATTATCAACGAGTTCAGGAGTGACTGACTTGTTGGCCTCAGCTGAGGGCCAGCGGCGAACAACGGTGAACAGGTCAGCTAACGTTAGCTAACAAGCTAAGGTGCTAACTACCGTAGCTACAAGACAATCAAAAATGGCGTTATTACTGCTGACTGTGCCCTAGGGCTCTGTCTGTCAAATAGCTCCGATCCTTCAATTACACAACTCACCGAGATGATAACGTTGTCTTCCCCTTGAAACTTGGGAATGTACTTGTCTCCTCTGACCACCTCGGAGCTGTTCAGGGGCCTAAAGCGGCACATCACTTTGATGGTGCACTCCGCCGGGTCGGCCATCTTCCACGGTTTACCGAGTGGAAATTCACTGATACAATTAAAGAGGGTCCTGGATCCCAGGGGCGGCCGTTGGGAAGTGGGGAGTCAAAAAAAAGGGAAGCCGAACCCCTCTGTCCCAATATTAGGTTCTGAAAAGAGCGATAAAGTGCTCCGGTGTTGAACAAAAATCCTTGTTTTCCTCTGAATCGCTTCCCCCTCCTGTTAGGAAGCCATGACACCGGTGGATCAGCGCCTCGCCCCTCCTGCTGCCGCCCTGTGGATGTGGATCACAGTGACGTCACCCCGCTCCCCTCCCCACCGCGCTGCTGTGGTTGTCAAATTCTGTGGGAAAATGATTTATGGAAATGAACAATTAAAATGATGAAGGCACTAGCAAATGACAAAGTAGCACAACATGTAGAGTTTACTATATTTTGGTCTGTCATGTTTACCTCTTTACTTAAGATTCCATTGAATATCAGTGGTGGAAGAAGTACTCAGATATTTTACTTAGGCTAAGTAGAAGTAGAAATAATATTATAAAAATACTCTATTACAAGTAAAAGTAATTATTTCAAAATCTTACTTGAGTAAAAGTATATAAGTATTGGCCTCAAAATATATACTTAATGTTCCAAAAGTAGCGTTCATTTGAAATACACCGTATAATACAAGTATGTCAACATTGCACTTAAGTAGCTACAGAATTTGAGTAAATGTAACTATAACATTCCACCACTGTTAAATACAGTATATACCTATATATAGGCCTTTATTGTAGGCTACGCATCACTGTATACCTCAAGGCATGTACATTTGAATTTGGAAAAAGTGCATGTGTGAGGAAAGAGAAAGTTTAATTCTCGACTATAGTCGAACTTTCGGTATTTGGTACTAACAGTGTAATTGTTTTTATAGTAAATTTGAAAAACGTATTTAAAATGTATTCTCAAAATATCTCTTTATTCTCTAAATTATAATGTGAAATATCTCTCCTTATGCCTGGCCCATAATACTCTTCTGTAGCAGCATAATGGGGAGTAAGAATCATGAAATCCTGGTTAAAATGGAGCTACTTTTACTTTTTTTCACACTGTTGTCAATAATGTCAATAATGCCATGCAGCAATATTTGATTGTTGGTTTCATTTTTTATATTATTGACAACCCCAAGAGTTATACCCATGTCATCTAACAAATAAGCTCAATTCAGGAATGAATTATGGGAAATGTGCTTGTAATAATTTGCCATGCCTTTTAAACCATTTTCAGGTTCATCAATCTATGAAGCATGAAAAGCTTTGTTACATGGTGTTATGCTTTAAACCAATTAATCTAACTTTCAAGATCCAACTGTTTTGCAGAAAGTCAAAAATTTTATAATGAACTATAGGGAAATATGCGAGTGCAGCCATAATAAAAAAAGATGCTTCTTACATTTTGTTATGTAAGATTTCCCACAAAGTGGAAGACATGTTATATAAGCTAGTTGAAGGAAAATGCAAAGGAATTAACATGGTGCACACTGGTGCTATTGTTATCCCCAAAAGAGGAACGCACTGTAGCCTGTGACTCAGCTGTCTTCGAGAGAGGGAGGCGCAGCTGTGACACCTCCTCTTAAAATAAAAATGCATCATGTCTGACCTCATTCAACAGATGCCATAATGGAGCAAAAGCTACGACAAACCACTATGGCTGAACACATATTCTGACCACTCCCTGAAACAGCAGAGGGAGGGATATCTTTTTTCACGTTGGAGTGCTTAGCTAATCCAAATACCAGTTCTATGGGGAGAGAGGGTGTGGTGCTTCTGTGTGAGCTCACTGGGAAGTCTGTGTGGTTGTCCTGGAGCAACAAGTCCCCAAAGACCACATTGTCTACTACGTGTCATCTAGACATTTGGTAGAATAAACTGGAGGACTTTTCTGTAATGTGAGCTGGTTTTGTATCTTTAACACATTCTGCTTTGCTTTGAAAGGAAAAAAGCATGCAAGGTGTTAAATAACATTTTATCGGATACTGTCCAGCCCACCCTAACTTTTGTATTTGTATTTATTTATAGAAGGACCATGCATACAAAAACATTAATCTCAGCAAAGAGAAGAGATGCAATATGCCAGATCATATAGCTTATTTCCATCTGTGGTCCTTTCTAATTTGTGCAAACATTTGGGAAAAAAAGCCATTCTGGACAATTGACTTGTGTAAATATATATTTCAGGGGTGTTAAGGAGGTAAGAATGGAGAAACCAGCTCGAGTGTGCTAGAATTTGAAAGTATTCTATACCCTTCATTCAGACTTCCTTACAGAGCCCCTCCTCCAACACACACAAACGCGCATATGACCAATGAGGGCACGAGATAAGTTTGTGCACGAGATGGAAGGCTGACAGGCAGGTAGGCCATCCAATTATCTGCTGCGGGCCGAGGCGTGCTTTTTACAGCGCCACGGCTTCCACAGATGAAATATTTGTATGTATTTATTGTCAAAGCATTCAATATATTCATTGCTATCGGGACGTTAAGAGCATTCCATGGAATATAACAAAAAGTGTTTCTGAAGTGAATTACATACCCCACCTTTAATTAAATTTGCTCAAGTACTTTACTTAAAGGGGCACTATTGTGCTCATATAAGGTTCATATTTTGTGCCTTTAATCTAATGTGACATGTCTCCATGCTTTCATGCTCAAAAA